TCCCTCCAGGTGCTGTTTTTCCCAGTGGAAAACGCTGGGTTTAACCATTCCACTCACTGCCCCGTCACCTTGGGTGCCCTGGTTTCAGCTAAGCCTGTCCAGCCTTGCTCGGGATTTAGCTGCAGGGATGTGCGGGTCCTGCTCTCCCTTCCTATGGGCTTCACAGCAGGAGAAATCCCCCCCTCTGCCAAGGGATCCGCAAGGATGGAGCCGAGCCAGAGGCTGATTGTGAGGCTGAGGAGCAGCAATGGCTTTACTCAACCATCATTCCTTTGAGCTAAGCCCCAAGCCAGCCAAAGTCCCTTTGGGAACCCCTCTGGCACGGTGGGAACAGGGGCGCCCAGGGTGTTAGCGAGCGCCTGGGGCCCTGCCAGGGCAACGCTTGTCCTCAGCTACCCCAGCACAAGGCCCTGCCCTGAAATCAGTTAAAAGCCACGGCTGCAGCTTCAGCCTTTCACTTCCCTGATCCTGGCACACATGGAAACCTCCCGGGCCAGATCCTGCCCATGTCCTCAGCACCCTCCATTAGCTCCATAGGGTCTTCTCCTGACGCAAAAGGCAGTTAATAAACAGCACCAGCCACTGTGGAAGAGTCGTGAATGATTGTCCAGGGGGGAAGAGGAGCATCCGCTGCCCTGGTGCCTCCTGATCCCTCGGGAGTGAGATCCCAGAGGGATGAATGGGGAGAAGGAAGCCCGTGGCACGCTCGGCTGCCTGCCCTTCCTGCCGTGGTTAATATTGGAGAGGTGGCAGCAAGCAGAAGGTATGAATGATGGGTTATGGTGCAACCAAGAACATGTTACCCAACGTGGTGACATCTTTGGTCCAAAAGGATCTTGTTCTCCGGAAGGAGTCCTCACCTGGGGATTAAATACAGATTGTTCCTAGGAAAAAGGTCCTTTCTGGAGCAAAACAGAGGCTGGTGGATAGTACTGGAGAGGTCCTCATGTGGAAGAAAGGAAAGGAACAATGAATACCTGGCTCTGGTTTCTAACCCTAAGACACACACTCCAAAGGAGACAAACCCTTAAAACCAGTTTATTCCCAAGCCACAATTCCAGTTCCAGCCTCTAAAGTGGGCTCGTCACTCCAGCCATTATCCCACACGCATGGAGCCAAAAACCTGAGCACAAGTGGGAAGGGAAAGGCCAGAGAGGGACAGGCAGGAGCAGGCACGAGAGGGCACAGCCACGCTTTCCTGCTTCCAGCAGTCACCGAAATACAGGGATGAAGACACACACAGGGCTGCATCCATGGAGGGGGACACACACATGGAGCTATCCCATCACAGATGCCTCCTGGAGCGAGTGCAGAGCATGGCCAGGCCTCGGAGCTGGAGCGTGGTCGAGGGGCTCCCATGCAGGGGCTCCCAGGATGAGATGAGGGATCGCAGAGCACGGCTGTAGGCTGAGAGGGAAGGGGCACAGAGCCAGGGTTAGGAGATGGGAGCAGCTCAGCTTCAGCCCTTTATCACAAAGCTCAGAGAGAACTGGTTTTAAGGTAATTCCATGGGCCTGTAGTTTTCCATGGGCTTGTTTGGACGTTCCCGAGTAGGAAGCACTATGGAAGTGTGAACCAGCAGGTCAAGGGAGGGGATTCTGCCTCTCTACACTGCTCTGATGTGGTCCCACTTGGAGCAACCTGCTCTAGTGGAAGGTGTCCCTGCAGGGGGTTGGAACTGGATGAGTTTTAAGGTTCCTTCCAACCCAAACAATTCCATGATTGTATAAATTCTTTGGCTTTCATAGGAAGTCCCAATTTCTCTACTCCCACAATTAGAGAACAACTCCCGGTTGCTCTGCAGGTGTTTCTCCAAGCTGTGCTCACTCTTTTGGTGAACAATTTCCACCACCTTCAGGCATACTCCCAGCAGAGGTTTAAGCCAAAGAGCTTTCCTGTGCCCCCAACAAGCCTGTTTTCCAGTGTTTTCCATATGGTTCCCCCACTACCAATACATGGATTATTTAACACATGACAGGCTGAGGGTGCCACCAACCTCCCTGAAGGGACAGAGAAAGAAGCTCGGTCACGAACAGGCTGCAGAGCACTTGACTTGCACCCTCCAGACTACATTTGTAGGACCATGGAAACATCTAACCAGGTCTGTTTTTTTCCCTGTATAATCAGGGATCCAGGTCTAAGCACCTCCCCTCCAGAGGCAAGAGCTCCTACCTTGGTGGTTTCTGTAGAAGACACAGTTGTTGGCACAGGTATCTGGGTGGGAATCCCAGAAATCAGACCCACAGGAGCACAGTGGGGGCAAGTCAATGTTGGAGAGTTTGATCTTCTCCCTCACCTGGGCTCTGAGAGCTTCCATGTACCTACAAGGAGTGAAACATTCACCTTTGGAAGTAACACCCGGCTCGGTGCTGGGAGAGGGGAGCTGGACGTACCTCATGGACTCCTTATCTCGCTGCTGTTTCTCCTTCACCTTCCTCGCTCTCCTCTCCTCCAGTTGAAGCTGGGCCAGGCTCTCAGAGGCTGCCTCACCTAAAGAGGGTTCCTGCTGCTCAGCCACCTCCTGCATCTTCTGTTCTGCTGCCCGGCGCTGCTTCTCCTTCTTGCTCTTAATCCTGCAGGGTTAAGCACACACATGCTTAGAGAAGGAGCTTCCCCATCCCAACCTCCAATCCCTGCCTGTTGTTCTCTGGGCATCCTGTCCCTCTTGTGTTGTTGCCCCAGAGCTGGAGACACAGGACTGCAGGGGGGGTCTCCTTTCCAAACCTCCTTTCATCCCCACCATGGAAACACCAGCTGGAAATGCTCTCCTGCCCTTGACATCCTCCTGCCTGCAGTGCCTGGGCTCTAACAGCCATCAGAAAGGAGCAACAGCTCCACTTCCCCATTTCTGACTTTGGATCCTACCACAACCTGTCCTTGCACCTTCCAGGGCTGTAGAAGAGCACTGGGTACATCAGAGAAGCTCCAAGGATCCCGCATCTATTCCAAAACAGGCATTTTTAACCAAATCTTCCTCTATTCCTCAGTCTCCCTTGCACCTGCACAGCCCTTCCAGTGGAATATGGGTTGTGGAAGTCACACACTGAGCACAAAGCACGTTCCCTTGACAAGCACCAATTATGAAGCACAAAGACTTTAAACCGAAGCATCTGCCATTCCATTCCTGCAAATGCAATAACATGTCACGGGCTGATCCCTGCCAAAAGGACTTAAAAGATCCAGGCTGGGTAGGAGCCAAAAGTGTGATCAGATGAGACACTTTGGATGTAGCTCCAGTGGGGAGGTCAAATCCATACATCCAGAAGAAAAACACTGAAGCCAAACTGCTCCAGACAAGTTCTAAACTCAAAAATGTCTTTTCAATTAAGAGCCTGAGCCACAGCATCAGAAATCTGCTGCTATAGAAACAGAGGTCAAGGCCAACTTAAGGCTTTACACTAAGTACAAAGCCACCTCTGCAGCCTGCAGCTCCCCTGCAACTGGGGAAGAAATAGAACACGAAAGGCTATCATCCTGACCAGGAAGTCCCTGGTGTCTCACCAGCACTCCCAGGGCAGGAGAAGGTCTCTGAAGCTCCAAGTTAAATGTCAGGAACGTGGCTGGAGGAGCCATAATTCTTCAGCCTGGCAATTCCTTTGTGCAAAGCGACCATGGGAATCCTGTCCTCAGTGCTCCCCCAAAACCTGCCCACTACAGAGCTGGTGTTAGACACAGCCAGACCTACAGCAGTTTGTTTTAGAGCAAACCAGAGGGAAAACATTCCAAGTCTCATTCTTGCCTTGGAGCTCCTCCTTACTGAACCCCTGGCAAGGGAGAAGATGATTAAACCACCAAACCAAGTGCTGAGACTTTCACACCAAGCTTTCAACTTGGGAAGAAGTGCTAGTAAATCTTTATATTACACTACACACGTTTATAGTTGTGAGGGTGAAGGGTCTGATATTAAAACCCACATAGATAAGATCAGTTTAACAACAACGTGACCTCACCCCAAAGTTCTAAACCTGGACTGCAGCACAGGCTTTTGGGATCTGTTCCAAGGAGCCATGGTTTGGTGAGCTGCAACATTCCCAGCCTGATGTTTCGGCTCCCAACTCCTGCACTGGCACTCAGAAAGTGGATGGAGAAGTGCTGAGGATCTCTGAAGGACTCAGCATGGCTCAAAGGTCTCTCTCAGAGGGGCTGGTCAAGTGAATCCCTCCCCAGGGTTAACAGATTGGGCACAGTAAACCTAGGATAAGTCTCAAAAGCACAGGAGACCTTTCCAGCCTTAGGAAGGGCCCTGGGATGAAGGAAGGAAGGACTACCAAAGGGCTGGAGCTCATCCCCATGTGAGTACCTGGTGATTCTCTTCTGCCTCTCTTTCTGCCTCTGCTGCTCCTTCACTTGCTCTCGCTCGATGCTCATGAAGAGGCGCCTGTACCGCAGGTATTCGTCCTGCCGCTGTGGGGAAGAACAGGCACCTCTGAGGAGGACATCCAGGGTTGATACCAAGTGCTATCAGCTCTCAGCTTGGTTCTGGAGCAGACAGAAACCTTGCTCCTTCCCCAAGAGAGCCTCAAACATCTCCTGGTGGACATGCCCCAGGACTTAGAAGCTGAAGAGATGGGGGGAGAGGAGGACCAAGACATCTTGGAGCATCAGAAAGCTTCATACCAGCAACCCTCGGCTCAACCTGCCTTCAGATGGAAGCTCTGCCACCTGACAAAGTCCTGAATTCCCTCATTCCTGGGGGTAAAAGAACTAGTTCCTATTTCAACACACACACAGCACCAAGCTGGACCCACTGCCTGCAGGAGAACCACAGAGGTGGCAAAGTCACTGCTGAGACAAATGCAATGCCCTGCAGGAAACAACTCCCATACTGAGCACATGAAAAGGTTCAATGTCTGGGCTTTGGCTTAACTCCTGCCTAAAGTTCACACCAAAGTCCTCCCACCTGCAGTCAGCACACAGCTAGGCTGAGCTCCATGATGCCACAAAGCCTAAGTTTTCCTCAACATCACCAAAAGTGTGGGGCTGGGTTTGTCCATCTCGGCAGTGAGAGCCCCACACAGCTGGAGATAAAGGAGCAGGAGAGATCACCAGGCTGCGAGAGAAGAAAGCTGGATGGAAAAAAACCACTCAAGAGACAGTGCTGCAAAACCAGTTATCTCAGGGTGGATCAGAGCCAGAGAGATAAAAAGCAAAGGGCAGAGGGAACTGCTGGGGGAAGGAGCAGCCTGAGGAGCCCCAGCTGCCATCATACCACCTAGAAGCCAGGTTTTGGGTCAGCTTGTTAGAGAATGCACATAAAGAACAAAAATAAAATGCAATTTATCCAAAGTCCTTTTGAGTTTTATGCTGTAAAGCTGCAAGAAAGCCCACAGAAGAAGAGGAAAGTGTTCCTCCTCAGGTCAGAGGGACGTGGAAAGCAGGACTCTTTTAGGCATCCAAGATAAACATCATCTCTCTGCATCGCCTGGATAAGCATGAGCCACACTGTCCACATGCAGGCACCCAGCATCAGGCCTGTTAGGTGCTGAGACGGGAGAAAGCTTCATATTCCCAGCAGTATTCCCAACCAAGATGAACTGGGGTTTGTTCCTTTCTCTTTTTCTGGGCATTTCTGACAGCTTCTCTCCACCCCTGCAGTCCCTGAAAGCAACACTTTTGTTTTGCCAGGCAAAAAAAGTTCCTCCTCCAGCCCTTCAGTGTCAGTCAGACCCCAGATTTTGCAGGAGGAGGACGTAATAGCTGCACTTGTGGTCATGATGGACCTTAAAAAGAACCTGGTAGGTCTGCACAAGACCGGAGCTGCCATCAACACTGACAAACTTAAACCCAGGAAGATGCTCCAGACATTAAGGCTGCTCTTGAGCCAGCAACATCCCCTTGAGCTCCACACCTCTGAGTCCTGAAATGAAGATGAAGCCATGAGGACTTGGCTCCAGTGAACAAACCTGCTTCTTGGTTTCCTCTTGGTCTGCCCCAGGCCAGAGGATGAGGGGGACACGGTGATCAGTGTGAAACCCCTGGGGTGGCTCAGGCGAGCTCCACTCCTTCACTGGTCCATCACGGAACTGCAAGATGATGTAAAAGAGCAGCATCAGCATCTTTACAGTCAAGTTTCTTCACTCAGCAATACACTTCTCACTGGAAGTGAGCCACCTACACATGGTGCCTACAGTCCTCAGTGTGCTTTTTTGGGTGGCTACAGACAGAACACACATGTGACATCCCCATGCAGGAGCCTCAGCACCGAAGCTTTGTCTAAACACCTCTGAAGATAACATCCCTGGAGGAGATTTCTGGTGTAGCCCAAACATGGATTCACACCTCCTCATCCCAAACTTCATTATGAACTTTGTGAAGTGCAAGAAAAACAATAACACAAAGAGTGATAATAAAAATACCAAAAGTGCCAGGGGAATAAAGAGCCAAAACCTCAGTGTGAACCTCCACCTCTACTCAAGATTTGTCAAGCCAGTATTTCTGCTCCTAGTTGGACTAATCACCACCTAAGGCTGGGCACAGGCGTAAAGTGTTTGTTAACTACTCCAGGTAATCAGAGCCAAACACTCCCACGCTCAGATACTTGAGGGAAGTTTGCCTTAAAAGAGGATCCAGAGAAGGGCACCGGAGCTGGAGCAGGGCCTGGAGCACAAGTGGAATGAGGAAGGGCTGAGGGACCTGGGGGGGTTTAGTCCGGGGAAGAGAAGGCTCAGGGGGGACCTTACTGCTCTCTGCAACTGCCTGACAGGAGGATGGAGCCAGGAGGGGGCTGGTCTCTGCTCCCAAGGAACAAGGGATGGGACAAGAGGAAACAGCCTCAAGCTGCGCCAGGGGAGGTTTAGATGGAGCTGGGGAACAATTCCCTGCCCAGAGGGTGCTCAGGCACTGGAACAGGCTGCCCAGGGCAGGGCTGGAGTCACCGTCCCTGCAAGTGTTCACACACCGTGTAGACGAGGCCCTCAGTGACATGGGTTAGTGGTGGCCTTGGCACTGCTGGGGAGTTCAACCGGATGATCTCAAAGGTCTTTTCCACCCTGGTTGACCCTACAATTAGCTCAGTCCTCCCAAGCAGACAGATTCACACCACCTCTAAGGGAGGGGTCTCACCAGTTCGAGGCACAGGAATTGTCTCAGCCAGCTCCTTCCCTTCCAGTCCTCCAGACCAACTGGCCCAGCCCTGTGTGAGTCTCACCTTGTTGAACTCAATTTTGATGTAGAAGTTGTCATCTTGCTCAGCCTGAGGCGGGGATGTCTCCTGGCCTGGCAGTTCAGCTGCAAGATCCTGTTGTCCTGCCAGCAGCAGCTCCTCACTCTCATCTTCTGCAGGCACCCTGCAAGAGTCTGGTTCCTGGAGGAGAAAGGTGTAAACATGGAATTAAAATGGGGCTGCTGTGGTGCTGAAGGCAGATTCAACACCCTTGGATAAGGAGTAGCTTTAATCTGAGGGCGTTTGTTCTGTAGAGTCAGTTGAGATCTGGCCCAACATGCTGCAGCATCCCCACAGAGCACGAGAGGCAGAAGATTTGAATTTGGCAGGTGCCAACATTCCCACCAACTGCAGAACCAGAGGGAGAGACGTGTGGGGTGAAGGAGAGACAAGGAAAAGACCTCTCCAGGCGCTGTTCCACAACCACAAGGTGCTGGGGGATGGTGGGATCTCTGGAGTGACACTCAGCATGCAGCATACTCCTTCAGATGGTAAGTGGGCTGGCTCCCTGGTGACAATTAGCAATATTTTGAGAGGCAGCAGATTGTTTCCTACAAACTAAGAAATCCAAATGCCAGAAGCAAGCCTGGAGCCAGGAATGTGGGTTTTTCTTTCCCCTCCTTTGCTGTCCCTTCAGTGGTTGTCACAGAAGCACAACACAGAAGAGATGCTTTGGTGATGACAAGGGAATGGAGAGGAACATTATTGCTTTCTAAGGATGCTCTGAAACCCCAAAGGTAGAAGGAAAGGAAACTGTGGCAAAACCACCAACTTTAGGGAATGATCAGTGGGGAAAAAGAATTTGGGTGCTTTCATGCTGGGGACCTACAGCCATCTACCAAAGCCTAAAGGCAAAGACTTGGTGAACAGGATCATCTGAAAGCCTCCCCGGACAGGTCATTTCCCTGTGATTACCATCTAGGTATCTGCTTGGGAAAGCAGGGAAGAAACTCTTCGGATGTTTTTGACCTGAGAAAAACATCTCTTGGAGAGAGGAAGAGTAATGATTTTGGGAATGTGCATTACTCATCACGGGGAATGCAATTCTTCAGAGGGAAGAAGGGAAAAAGAAGGAAAATGCAGCAAATAGGAGTGAAGGAGAAGTAACATTCCCTTTAAAGTGAGTAAATGCAACGTACCTGGGAAGACAAACAGCACAGGGTGGACAACCCTAGCAAAGCCCCAAGTTCTTTCTGTGCCCATGATCCATGTGAGCAGGGAGGAAGTGGAGCACGGGTCAGAGGAGGAATCACACAGGAGACAACACAAGCATGTGGGGACATAAAACCAAAAGGAGTGCCAGAAAGGCCAGAGCTCCAAGTGAAACAGGAGGGATGAAGGTAACAAGTCAGGCTTTAGGAAGAGAGATTAAAAGACACGCTACTCGAGAAGGACAGTTATCAGAGGACGCCACCACCAACAGTGGTTTATGCTTCTGGGCATCACTGCTCAGCCCAAGGCTTGCTCTGGGATAAAGGCAGCAGCAAGAAAAAAGCTTGGATTATTACTGGGAAGAAAGTCAGATTCTTCCTTGCTGAGGTTTGAAGCAGGCAGGAGCTGCCCTGTGCTACTGCCAGGAGAGGCAGACAAGCTGCCAACAGCTTCCACCGCCCCAAAATCTGTGGAGGTCCAGGTCATCAGAAAAGGGCACAGTAAGAGTCTATCTTTAAATAAAGGAAGGGGAAAGGAGATGTTAAAGAGGAGATTTTAGCCTGTCTCATGGAAAAACAAGAGGAAATCACCTTGCAAACAGCCTGTAAGTTGCTAGAAAACAAGATAAGCAGCAACCAGCATAAATCTGTCAAAAGCAAGTCATGTCTAGCTGGTTTGAATTTCTCCTGCAACAGAAGAGAGAAGCCCCAGGCAACGTGCAGCAGGAGACATCCTGGTTTTAACTCAGCTTTTGTCATGGCCTAATTTAAACTTGTGTGAAGAGATAGCCATTAGATAAAACTCTTCTATGGAAGGGGCAATACTGATTAAAAACACTCCCCTGGTTCAGTCTTAGGAGTTCACTGCACAAAAAACAGAGTAAGAACAAGGTGGGCTCAGCTTGATACTTCATTACTGGCCTGAGTGATGGAAGAAGGCAGCATCTTGACTCCATTTACTGACCCCACCAAGCCATTTGGCTTGCATTTGCAGAAGGATTTGAGAACAGGCTAAACATGCTTGGGCTCAAACGAAGGAAATCAGCTGGAACATACAGCACCAGGAAATCCAAGGAGGACAAAAAGCAAAGGGGCAAGGGAGTGCAACTCCAGCAGCAGTTACAGGGTGGTTAGGACTAGGGCAGCCTTTTGCACGTGAACAGAATGGAATAAGCTGCTGTCCCTCCTTGAGAACCTTCAGAAGGCTCAGGTTAGTGGCAGAGCTTTCTCTTCTCTACTCTCTTGCTTCTGAAACCCTCTGGCCTGCACGGGCAGCTGCATTATTTATGTGAGGCTTTCGTGCTGCTAACAGTGTAGTAATGAATCACTCCGCCTTGCTGAATGCACTCAGGACTCAAAGAGAAGGTACTTGTATTGTCAGAAAGAGCTAACAAAGGTTTTGGGCCCCTGATTAGGCTGTTTCTGTAACTCCTGATGGCAAAGCTAACTTCCTTGAACACAAATCCAACAGTACACAGAGAAGCAAGAGCCAGACCAGCCCTTCTATAAAAGGTATTTTCTAGATAACAGCCAGCCAAGATGTACTTCACCTTTGATGAACCTGAGAGAGAGATGGGAATGAAGAATTGCAAGTCAGGCAGGAAACTGGCTCGGGAGGAGGCAGGGAGACAAAATACCAGGTTGGGTCACTGCTGGTGTTCTGCAGGACGGACAAAGTACATCACTGTAAGAAAGGTCTTGACATAGAAAGTAGGACAATAGCTGCCACACAAAGCTGCTCCTGAGAGCTGGAGTGACAAAAGCAGGATGAAATTCAATGGAATAAAAGGTGAGGCCCTTGGGACTGACCTCCTTACGTGGCTCCTCTGCACTGCTTCGAGGAAAGCAGGTGCTTGCCAACAATCCTCTACCAGAAGCCAGCCCTGGGTTAGGAAAACCTCCAGATCTTTGCCACCCACAGGAAAGGAGGGATTGATGTAAGGGAAGGAGTTGTTGAGGTTTGCTGAAGGAATAAAGGCACCTCAGGGGAGGGCTGATCTGCACATTCCTCCCAGACACCCAGATCACAATCTCAGCCTTTAAGAAATCTTTCTTTGAATTCTTGTTTCCTGGCTTCTCTCTCCTCAAGTCTCTGCAAACAGAGATGTTTTCACCCACATCATCCTGCTGCCTTCTCAGCAAGAACAGTGGGGACAGAGCCCTCAGGCCACTGAAATCCATGTGCTAAGCACCAGATGGGTCACAAAAGCCCAGTTTGTTTCATTTCTGCTGGAGAAACTCACTGAATCGGGCCTTGGATTTGCCAATTAGAGCCAGAGCTTCACAGGGACTTTCTTCTTTCTTACCCACCTCAGGCATCTCTCACTCACCTCCTGCCTCCAGACACCACCGGGGAGTTCAAGGGGACCTGCTCCTTGAGGTACAGTCTTGCAGGATGCCAGCCTGTGCCGAACATGCTTCATGGTTTTGCTCAGCTGTGTTAGGAGGGAAGGCGAAGGCAAGAGACAAGAAGTTGTCACCAACTGCTTTCTGTGAGGGCTGCCCCAAGAAGTTCAGCTGCAATGAAGATAGCTCCCAATGTGCCCTGCTCCAGCCACAGTGCTTTATCAAGGGATAAAAGCTCAACACACGATGAGCTTCACAAATATGAGGGAACCCGCAACCCAAGGTGACTTCCAGAGCTGTCCCAATGCACTGAAATCCCAGTCCAGGCAAGGTAAAGGGCTTGGTTACACATCATCTGCTCCCAAATCACTTTGCTGTGATGCCAGAAGCCCCAGATTCCCAATTGTCCCACCCAGTGTCCAGCCAGAAGTGATTCTGCACACCCCAAGTGGTGCTTCAACCGGACCACCTCCAGCTCCTCGGTTAACACCCTTTATGAGATGCCAGACGCAGCATAAGCATCACTATTAGAAAGCTTCAAACAGTCCCAAAGGCAGGTTTTCCCAAGATCCCACATTCCTGGTCTGCAGGAGATCAGCTGCAATGAGGTGGCACCACCTAGTGTCACCTATGCGACACAACACCGCAACAAGTCCCTGCGTGGGGAGGGAGAAAACAACTGGATCCACAGAATCATGGAATGATTTGGGTTGGAAAGGACATTCAAAGCTCACCTAGTCCAAACCCCTCCAATGAGCAGGGACATCCTAAACTAGAGCAGGTTGCCCAGAACCACATCCACGGCCCTGGATGTCTCCAGGGATAGTGCATCCACCACCTCTCTGGGCAGCCTGTGGCAAGAGTGAATTCGGAATGTGCTGGAATGTGCCTGTCCTCCTTTCAAACCACCAGCATCCAGCCTGAGGAAGCAAGGCTGGAAAACCCAGGAGAGGAACCACTCACCTCGGCAGCGTGCTGCTGGAACGGCTCGTCCTGCTCCCCTTGCTGTGGCACCGGGATGGCACGAGGAGCACTGGGAATGCCAATGGTGGATGTGGGATGGCTCCGAAAGAGGCACGTGTTCATCCTGGTCCAGCGCAGTGTGGAGCCCGAGTACTGCACAGCCACACAGCTCTCCCGCTCTGCCTGTGGGATACAGCTATGGATAATGGGACATAACCTCCACCATGAGTGTGGTGACGCCCTGGCTCCAGGGAGACGTTGGAGCAGCTTCCTAAAGGACTACAAGAAACCTGGAGAGGGGCTTTGGACAAGGGCCTGTAGGGACAGGACAAGGGGAATGGCTTTAACCTGCCAGAGGGGAGATTGAGATGAGCTCTTGGGCAGAAGCTCTTCCCTGTGAGGGTGCTGAGGCGCTGGCACAGGGTGCCCAGAGAAGCTGTGGCTGCCCCATCCCTGGCAGTGTTCAAGGCCAGGTTGGACACAGGGGCTTGGAGCAACCTGGTCTAGTGGAAGGTGTCCCTGCCCGTGGCAGGGGGTTGGAGCTGGATGAGCTTTAAGGTCCTTTCATCCCAAACCATTCCAGGATAACACAGGCTGCATGGGAACTGCTGGTTCAGTTTGGTGGCATTTCTTGGGATGGACACAAAAAGCCATCACACTCCGAGGGTTTTCAGTTTGGAGGAGTACAAGAGGAGTGATGTGAGGACATCCTTACTCAACCATGTTCCCAAGCCATGGAAACAGCCCAAACACCCCAGGGATGGCTCAAACCATTGACATTCCAGTACATTCCCTCTTGCTCCGCTGTCAGTTTCTGGCAAGTCTCCCTGGCAGTTGTTTAGAGCAGAAAGGATTAAATATATTCACAGGATCATCTAAAACAAGCCCATGGGGGAAAATGGGAATATGGAGACAGCTGCTTTAAGTGCAACCAGGAGACATCCACATCCTCCACAGCTCTGGCTATAGTTTAACTCCATGCCCAGGGCACCAGGACTCTGCTCTGCTGCTCCCAGGAGAAGCAGCGACCTTTCTGCAGGGAGGCAAAGGGCTTAAAGCCCCCTGAGCACCAGAGCTTGCCAGTGTCACCCTGACCTCGCTCAAGGGGACACTGCTTGTGGCCACGGCTCTGCTGTGACCACCAGTTTCCCATTTCTTCTTATGAACACCTTGACCTGAGGTCTGATGGGGCTTTCCCCACCCCCAGCTTCACCGTGTTTCCTGAAGGCCCCTGGCAAGGCAGGGATGGAGATGTACTTACTGCTTCACAGGACCTCTGCAGCTGCAGCTTCCTTCTCATCCTGACCTGCTGGTTCACCCTCTGCTTCACCTCGCCCTGGAATCTCTTCAGCCTGGCTGCCTTCTGCTGCTGCTGCTCCTTCAGCTCCTCCTCCACCTGAAAGGCTGAAGCCTGTAAGAGGTGAAAGCAGATTTCCCATGAGTTTTGCTCCTATTCCATCTTCCCTCCCTGCACCTGCAGCCATAAGCAGCACCCGGTGCAAACTCAAGCTCTGTGCAACAACAGCTTGGAGAACATCTATTGGATTATGATGAGCTTAGACTGAACCTAGCTGGGCAGGTAGAGTGTGCACACCTCCTGCTTCAACTGCACCACACAGGGAAAGAAGGTGACAGCCTCATCCAGCAGCTCCCAGCTCCAGTGAAAGGATGCTCAGGCATCCAAAGCCCGGATCCAAAAGGAGCAGGCCAGCCTCTGATACCATTAATGCTGGAAGCGTGTCAGGGAAGGAGTTTGCAGAGCACAGGCTCCAAAGTAAAAGATTAAAGGCAATGACCTAAATAAACCCCAATCACTTGTGTTACTTTTCCAGGTTCTCACTTGAAGCCATGCCAAGGAATTCTGCTGATACCACCATGGCTTAAGGAAAACCAGCATCGCTCTCCTGGCTGTCACCGCAGGACAACCAGAGTCTGAAGGGATGGAGAAAAAGGAGGAATCTGAAATCAGCTTGGGGGCTGGATGGTCCCCACATCCCACTGCCTGCCAGGAACGTGACCAGCACCACAGCAAGGTCAGAACCACCAAAGAAAGCACCAAGATGGGGAGAAACCTGTCTGGTAGTGATGAAACCAAGCCAGGGCTACACAAACCTCATCCCCATCTTGCCCTGCTTCCTTTTGACAAGCTCATCAGCAATTCTGATGCAGGAGGCATTAACAGGTATGTGTTTAATATGATCTAATGGCTCATAGAAGTATCTTCAATGAGCTCTACCAAGCCTGTGCACCTCACAAAAGCCCAACACCAGGGGAGGACCTGGAGCTCCAGAGCCCCCCCGAGCAGGCAGGAAGAGTTGGGCTCTCCTAGAAGTTGTGTGGAATATGGACATGGTTCATTTCCATGTATTATCTCAACCTTTCAGGATTTAAATGACAATGAAGAAATAAATCATCTCCGAAGGGCAGGAGCTTGTGGAACGTTTAGACATTAATTACAGGGGACTGAACTCATCAGCCTGGATTTAATGCACTTTTAGTCCTCTTATGATAACCCTCAAAGCAGAAATCCCTGAGATCAGCACCAATAAAGACGTTCTGGAGTGCTCCTGATGGGGCACGGCAGAGGCTGGCTCCAGACTCAACTTAGTTTTACTTTTGAATCAGCAACATGGGATAAAATCTCATTCACCGACATCCTTTAGGGATGAATGGGAAAGCAAAGAGAATGGATACAGGGAGGGGACAGGTCACAGCCAGGAGTGGCACAGGCACCTCAAATGCAAAGCTATAAGCGTGGAATTCCAAACCTGGTACTGATAAATCAAGGAGCAGCCAGGAATAGTGAGGAAAACTCATGGAAAGGGGGGGGCACAAACCTGCTGAGTTTTAGCTGTGCTGCCAGTGCTGAAGGCAGCTTCTAGTAAGAGGTTGAAAATCCACAAATCCAGCTAAAAGGAATAGTGCAGAAAGCACAGGATGGATAAGTAAGGAATCACCAGCAGCTGATGGGAGCACTGGCTGGATCCCCACCTCACTGATGGTTAAAACCAAGGTGTTACTAAAGAAAAAACAAACTTATTTGAGGGGAATCAACTCGGGTTGATGCTGAGGGCTTGTGTGACCGGGACACCAGGCTACACGGACATCGTGGTGGCTTCTGACCCTCCTAAAACTCATTAACATCTATTAATTCCTCCCAGGAGCAGCGCTCTGGCTGCCTCTGAAGGGAGGAAAAGCCCATTTCCAGCTCCAATGGCCCCCGGGGGGTTTAGTGGCACAACTGGGGGGTGCTGAGGACCCCCAGCAGCACTCACAAAGGCCAAGCTCTGCTCCGGGCCCTCCGGGGCACTCTCCACCCAGACACCCACAGGGGCCACGCTGGGATTCCTCTGGGCCAGCACCCGGCAGCTCCGCGCCTTCCAGGGGGATGGCGGCATCCCGGGATCCTGGCTGGGGCCTGGGAAAGAGGCTATGGGATGAGCGTGACCCCCATAGCCCCCTACTCCCTGCACAGCCCCTGCACCTCCATCT